CTATTGGAGTTACCATCGCCATTCAACTAAAGAAGAGAAAAACATTTGATAAATAGTTATTACTGCGTTAAAAACTAAACCATTTTCGGCCATATATGTATGATTTGGTCATTATAGATGTGTGGTTGATTTTGGATCAGCCCACCTTGAATTTCAAAATCTGGACTTCTTTATTTAAAGTAGAATTTAATGATTTATAATTTTGGCTAAAGATGGAGCTGTAATTAATTTTAAAATTTTTAGCTAGTTGCAACTATTTATAAATTTTTATATTAAAATAAATTTTGTAAGGAGTTGCAACTTACCGAGTTGCAACTTCTTAATTACAGTGCCATCTTTAATTTTGGCAAATAATACAATTATGATTTTATCTTGAGATTGGATAATCCAAAATCAATGAATGTTAGCTCATTGGATTCGCCTAGTTGTGAGGAATCGAATGGTAGTTGTTTCATACAAATTGGAGTGATATTGATCGAGATCATACATTTTTTGTTTTTTTTTATATATAAAAAATCATATGATCTAACGTCATTTCAACCAATTCGACTTTTGACCTTCAAAGTCGAAATGATTTTGACTATTTTGACTATTTCGGATATCTGAAATAATTTATTTTAACTTCATATATAGTTTAAACTATAAAAGAAATAAATATGAATAATTAAATTAAAGGATCAAGTTATTTTTATTCAAAGAAGAATGAATTATTTACAAGTAAGAATAATATTTAAAGATAAATGTTATTGATTTATTAGAGAATAGTAATAAGTCTGTCATATTATCAAGGTAGAAAATATTTATATAAAATACATCAATAATAAATAGATATTAAAAGAATATAAAAAATATAATAAATTTAAGAAATTAAATATATTAAAGAAATAAGAGAAATTGGAAATTGTTAAGATATTATAGAAATGAGAAAAATTAGAAAAATGATAGAAATTAGAGAAATTAGAAAAAGTTAAGATTTGTGATCATTAGGATCATCATTCATTAATTATAATTGATATAGTACTAATATATCATAATTAAACTATTACTAACAAGAGTAAAATAGAAGAATTAGAGTAATAATTATATACTTATATTATATCAATATAATAAAGAAGAATATTTAGCAAATTCAACTTATACTACTATTGCAGCTATTAATAGATATTTGCAAAAGAATTTAAAATTTGAAAAGTAGATTTATATAATTTATTAACATTTCATTTTTTTATTAAAGTAGTAAATGATAAAGTAAAATTTATCACTAATTTAGGCTATGGAGAAGTAAAAAATGCTAATGCATTTATTAATGAAGAGGTTTAACAAATATTATCACATAAATATATAAATAGATCTACATTAATGCATCTTTAAGAAAGCTATTCTTTTATGTAATGGTAAATACCATTATTTAATGCTTCTAATTTTAAAAAGAGAAATGATGATAGATATAATGCTATTATTTATAGATCAAAAATAAAGCAACAAGGATTTATATCTAATAAAGATAAAGCAAATTGTCAAATTAACAAGAAATTATTAATAATTAAAGATACTTTATCATAAGACCAAAAAGTTGTGATATTAATTTTATTTGCAAGAAATTGATGAAAGAATTTGATTAGTATTTAATATTAATCATTATTTAATATCTATTTAAACTAATTAGTATTATAACTAGTAAAAAGTTTAAGAAAAACATTAAATATAAAAGATTAAATTCTTTTATGAATCAGATTGCAAAATTATCTGGAGTTAATATATCAAAATAAAAAATATTAAATCATTCTGAAAGAATAATGTTGATACAAGTATTATAATAATTAGATATTAGTAAGGAAATATTGCATTACAATCATAATATAAATCACTTGAGAGGATTAATGCATATATATAAGATCCTGAATAATAACATCATGATATGTTCATAAAATTTCCTTTTAAGAATTAAAATAAATCTTATGTTTTTATATTTTAAACATATATTTATTTCTTAATTAATAAATTTAAAAATATAATATTTACTTTTTCTAATTCTAAAATTATAACAAATGTAGATTTAAATAATATTTCTATAGATCAAGAACAAGAAGAATTTATTTCTTCTTATAAAAGTAAGTAAATAAATAAATTATTATTTTATGATAATTTGAAAAAATTTTAATTAATTAATTGTTTTTATATTAATTTTAATTCATAAAATGTCATATGAATTCAATAAAAATAATTTAAATAATAAAAAAATATAAAATAATTTATATATTTATTAACTTTTAACTTAGAAGTAAATATATAAACTGATTAATTTAAAAATATGTTAGAAATAAAAGTATTTGATAATTTTAAAAATTTAAATATGAAAATCAATTTAATTTTAATATCTAAATTATTTACTATAATATTTAGATTTTAAAACTTATTAATAATAATAAATTGTATGTTAATTAAAAGCTTAATTTATAGTCTATATAATTGCAAATATATTTTATATTTAGTCGTTAATAAAAAATATCAGTTCATTAATATCAGTATGATCTTAATAGATGGACTAATAATAAATATTATTAATTAAAAAATTATATATATTAAATTAAACCTAATTATTTATATAATTATAATTCATTTTCTTATTCTACTTTTTATTATTTTTATTATAATAAAGATTTAACCAATTAGTAAGTTATGCTTTCAAATAATAAATTCTTCAATTGAATATATAAAATGTTTAAGTATTTTTTTTTTAATAAATTAATATTCTTTAAGCTATAAAATTGAATTTTTTGTAATAAAAACTTTTTAGATTTTTATTATATTTAAATAAATCTAAATATAGTTCATTAATTTCATTAATTTCTTTTTAAAATATAGTACTTACTTATTTTTCATAATAAAAAGATATCATTATCTTTATTCATAGAAATAATAATAGATTTTGATTGTATCTAAATAATTATTGCAATTTTTAAAATTTATTATAATTTACTTACTTTTTTTATTTTTTTTCATATATTTGTACTTTAAAAAGTTATTTTAATATTACTATACATTTAACTAACTGATTTTATTTCATTAAAATATCTAATTTTTATGTTAAAATACTATTTACTTGTTTAATATTTTCTTGTGAATGTAAATGCCTAAATCTATTATTTATATTTTTAATATTTAACCATAATAATCATAATGATATAAGATTTAAAATTATATTTACTGTAAATTTTTTACTATTATTTGATTTTAATTGCAATATATTAAAAATCTAACTTCTGTAAAAATTTTAAATAAATAATTAGATACTTCTATTATATTTTTTGAAATAATTGCTTTTGTTCAAGAATATTTAAAAAAGTGATTACATATGTAAAAATATATTTAAATTTTAATTATTTAAATATTATAATTTATAAGATTTATTTATAATATAATATAAAATAATTTATTAAATAATAAATAATTCTTGTATTCTTAATAAAAAACTTTTAGCAATAATTGGCATTTGAAATAAATGTAACTATAAAATCTTATATTATATTAGCCTATTAAATTTTAAGATTAGTATATATATTATTAATATCCAAGTAAAGTATAAGAAATACAAAATTCTTTTTACAATTTTTTTAATTAAAAGTGTAGTATTATCATTTCACTCAGATTTTTTTCATAATTTCTTTTTAAATGATTATTAGAAATTTTATATATAATATAATCATTTCTAATAATTTTTAAAATAAAATTATTTTAATCCAAAGAATATTATTTTAAATTATATATAAACAATATTATTATTTTCTGATAATAATATTTTGATTATATTATTATTTATTACTTTACTAATAAATGCTTTTTTGTTAAATCTTTAATTAAGAAATCAAATATATTATTAAATTAATATTTTAAGATCAGATATAGAAATAATTTTGTTGAAAGATATTCTTAATTTACATTAATAACAGAAAATAATAAAAGCATTTTATTTTTATTAAAAATAATATAAAATAAGTGTAAATAAATGCAAAATATTATTATTTTATATAATTTGTAACTTTTAATAAATAAATAAATAAGCTGCAATTATTAAGTCAAGAATTAATTAAAATTTAATTAAGATCACAAAATTTAATAAATAAGCCAATAAGAATAAAGGAAATTAAATACTATAATTAAAAGCCAAAAAATTTAATAGATAAGCTTAAAATTTGATAGAATAAATTAATTAAAAGTAGAATGTATTCAATGTATTCAATATTTTTCCTATAAAAAATTCATTAAGGTTTATGCCAATAAGTTAACCGGTTGATTTAATAAATATGAATTTGACAGCTGATTTTGAAAAAAAGACTACCGGATAAAGATGATAATCGGTCCCAAGGATTTCTAGTCTTTTCTGTCCTTAAATAACCGCAGTCCTCTCCAGTCTTCTGTTTTGTGATTAAAATCAAAAGACCGGCAGTCTTTTTGTAAAACTTTGGTCTTTTTTTTAAAAACTGCGGTATTTAATAAATTAAAGGTTTTAAATAGATCGACAATGAGCTGAATTTCGTTTCTTTTTATCATGACCGAAATAGATGATGATGAAAGCGGAAGATAATCTAATTTTTGTTGTAATATGTTATAAATATTTTTTTTTTTTTAAAAAAAAAAAGACTGAATTACAAGACGGTATTTATAAATTAAAACCGCAGTCCGGTCCGTCTTTGTATAAGTCTGGTGGTACAAAGACTAAGACTGACCGCTACTTTTATTTGCGGAACATCCATTATGATACACGTTCTTTTAACCATAATTTTGATAATTTTCAACTTGCACTTGCAAGAAATTAGTATAATAATTTGGATTATGTAGTCAAAAACAGATAAATCCTTACGACACTAATTTGTAATTTTCCTATCTCCACTAACTATATTAGGTCAGTATGTATTTATACACAATATAGCAAAGTTTAGTATTGTCCGAAAATAACATAAATCATTAGGCTTGAGTAAAAAAATATACGAAAATTTCAAATGAGTTTAGAATTCACTTCTGATCTTGTTAAAGATATTTCTTCATTATTGCATAATGCTGATGATTTCAACGTTATTATTCAAGTTGGTGAAGGCCAAAATACAAAAAAATTTCATGTTCATTCGGTTATTTTACGGGCACGTTCTCCATATTTCAAAATTGCCTTTTCAACTAATTGGATTCAAAAAACTAACAACACAATCATGTTTAATAAACCAAACATCACTTCATTCGTCTTTGACATGATTTTAATGTAGGTTATATTTTAAATTACACAAAATTAATACTTTTTTTTTTTTCGATGATATCCAAATAAATTTATGATCTTACTCTTATTAAGGTATATTTACTCAGGTGAACTTAATTTGGCAAGTTATTCAGATCAAAATATTTTTGAATTGTTAATTGCATCTGATGAATTATTACTTGAAGAACTAACCGCATTTGCCCAAGATAACTTAATTAAACGTCGAACTACCTGGATCAAAAATAACATTACTCTTGTTCTTTGCACTGCATTTAAACTTGATAGTTGCAAGAAACTTCAAAAATATTGTCTTGAAATAATTTGTGCAGACCCACTACCATTTATCACTTCGAGTAATTTTCAATCTATAGATAAAATGATCCTTTTTGACTTGCTTAAAAGAGATGATTTAAACGCTGAGGAAATTGATATATGGGATTCTTTAATAAAATGGGGCGTAAAGCAGACTCCTGGATTAATTGAGATCAGTAATATATCTGAATGGTATCAAGGAAATTTTGAAGAATTGAAGAAGACGCTAAGTCATTTCATTCCCCTTATTCGATTTGCGGAAATTTCACCTGAAGATTTTTATGATAAAGTTCGTCCGTATAAGGCATCTATTGCCAATCACATTTATGAAGAAATTGAGAAATTTTATTATAAAAAAACTTTGCCGAAAACAGCGAATTTATTACCGCGATCTAAAGAGATTAAACCAAAATCTTTTATGGAAAAAATGATAGCGTTCATTTTTTGTAAAGATTCAACAATCTATTCCGATCTATCAAAAGATCTTTCTTTAATATTAAGTGATGCCGATGACTTCAATGTGATTATCAAAGTTGGTAAAAACCAAAATACAGAAGAATTTCGTGCACATTCAGTTATTTTACGTGCACGTTCTCAATATTTTAAAGGTGCTCTTTCGGGAAATATTGTTACTAAAAAGGATAGTATAATCATGCTTAATAAGCCAAATATAACCCCAATTGTTTTTGACATGATTTTAAAGTAAGTTACGTCCTAACTATTATTACTATTATTTTATTAAAATATTATTATTCAATTATAATTAAAATTTTTATAATTGTTAAGGTATATATACACAGGTATAATTAATTTATCCAAGCAGCCAAGTGATAAAATATTTGAATTGTTAATCGCATCTGATGAATTATTACTTGAAGAATTATTCAAACAGGTCCTAGATTACTTGTTTGAAAATCATGTTAGATGGATTCAAAAAAATTTTGTATTTGTTCTAAATGGCGTGATTCGACTTGCTAGATTCAAGAAATTACAGGATTATTGCTTCGAATCAATCTGTTCAAATCCATTACCATTTATGACTTCCAAAAACTTTACATCACTTGACAAAAGCATCCTTTTTGGCTTGCTTGAAAGTGAAGATTTGGCGCTTGAAGAAATTGATGCCTGGAATTTTTTAATCAAATGGAGCATTGAACAGACTCCTGAATTAAGTGGTAATATAAATGAATGGAATCAGGGAAATTTTGAAGAATTGAAGAAGACGCTAAGCAAATTCATTCCCCTTATTCGATTTGTGAAAATTTCATCAGATGATTTTTATGATGAAGTTCGTCCTTATAAGGCAGCTTTTCCCAATCACATTTATGAAGAAATCGAGAAATTTTATTATAAGAGAACTCTACCGAAATCAATTGTATTATCATCTCGAGTAGGAAATATAATATCAGAAATAATCAATCCCAACCTTAAATCTTTAATAGCTAATTGGATTGATAAAACGTCAAAAGTTCTTTTATATAATAATAATTATAAGTTTGATCTAATGTACCTAAAGAGTCGGGATGGTATTAATCGTGCGGTATGTAATTGTAATGGGCCATTTGTATTGTTGATAAAAGATCAATCACAAAAAATTTTTGGAGGATACAATCCAACCGGTTATAATTCCGCAACAAGCTTGCCCGAAAAAGAAAGTTTTATATTTTCTTTCGAAAATGGCCAACGAACATATAATATGAAAATTGGCAATTATATTAGGTCAAAAAAAGCAGATAAGATTCCCCTTTTCTTCAATTTTGGAAATCATCTATGTATTAATGTTAAAGCTAAAAAACTTCTTTTTAAAGATAATGGAAATTATGAGTATATATTTGATGATATAAAGGATAATTTACGTATCAAAGAAATTGGAATTTTTAGTGTAGTTAGGAAGTAGATTTTTTCTTGATAAGGCACTGCACATGCGATTCTTTTAACAATAGGATTAGATTAGATGTGTTAAACTTTTAAGATCTTAACCTTGAAAATATATTGTAACCGAATAAAATATAATAAATCCAATATAAAAAAGTCGTAAATTAAAGCGTACCAACAACAATGTTTTAAACGACGTTGGCGTGCTCTCTTGTATGTACCGTACCGTTTTTATGCCAAAATAAAAATTACCTATTAAACTTATTAATAAGTTTTTGCACAATTTAACAATAAATTTCATTATTTGCATAAATTAATTTATCCATTTTAAATTTTCTTAATTTTTGGGTACACATTTAACAGAAAAATATTTCATTTGAAATACGGAACGATTTAGAATTCAAAATCGTTAAACTGTAAAAATTTTGCAAAGGTCTAACTTTTAATTTAAACTGACTTTAACGCAAATTATTGTTTTTTAAAAGTGACTTCAGTATTCCATCAAGGTCTTTTCAAAAGACTTTTCTTTTAAATTATACGAATTATAACGACTTATACAATATCGTTAGTCAAGTAGATAAAGACCAAATTACAAAAAATTTTCATGTGCACGTTATTTTAAGAGCACATTCTCAATATTTCAAGAATGTTCTTTCGTTTCGGCTGACACAATTACTAAGTTTATATAAGAAATTTCTCCTTCCGTTATTGTAATTATTTTAAAGTAAGTTATAGTTTCTACTGATTTAAAAATTGAAGTGATCTGTAATTCAAAAAAAAAATGTCGGTTTATTATTTTTAGATACAGGTGAACTTATATTTTGACCAAGTATTCAGGTGAAGATATTTTTGGATTATTAATTGAACTTGTTAACTACGTCTTGAAGAGCTATTCCAATATGTTCAATATTACTTAATTGAAATAAGAACTGGTTGGATTCAAAAAATTTTGGTCCAAGTTCTTCATGCTGTTTAAGAACTTCATATGTTGAAGAAACTACAATCGTATTGCTTTAAATTAATATGCACAAAACAAAACCATTTATCACTTCTAAAAACTTTCTATCATTAGATAAAGACATCCTTTTGGATTTTCTTAATAGAGATGATTTGATATCTGGGACTGTTTAATCGAATGGGGCATTGAACAAACTGAACAAACTACAATAAATAAATGTGAATATTGATATATCTGAATGGAATATTAAAGAATTGAAGAAGACATTATGTAAATTCATTCCACTTATTCGATTTGAAGAAATTTCTCTTGATGAATTTTTTGAAGAAATTGATATTTGGGATTGTTTAATCAAATGGGGTATAGAGAATAGTCCTGGATTAGGAAGCAAGTATAGTGATAAAACCAAATGGAATAAAGAGAATTTGAAGCATTGGAGAAAACAATATCTCAATTCATTTACCTTAATGGTGTGGAAATTTCACCCGAAGATTTTTTTGATAAAGTTTGTCCTTATAAAGTTGCTATTCCCAATCATATTTATGAAGAAGTTGAGGAATTTCATTATTAGAATACCTTGTCGACAAAAACGACGTTGTTTGAAAACTAATATCAATAATAATTAAACCAAAACTTGCAACTGCAATAGCTAATTGGATTGTTAAAAACGATTCAACTGTTCTTACATATATAAGTTTGGTCTAATTTACCTAAAAAGTCGGGATGGATTTAATTATAAAACATTTAATAATATGTAGTAATTAATTATTAAAGTTCAATCAGGAAAAGTCTATGGAGGTTATGATGCGATTTGTTGTGTGGAAAAAAGTTTATTCAGTTGGTTTTATCTTTTCTTTTGGAAAAGATCAAGAAGTACACGATATGAAAATTTGCAGGTTAATAAACGCGAAGCGTTCTATCTATGAAAGATTCAAAATAAAAAGGAACTCATTTGCAATGTTACAAAGATAATGAAAAATTATTTTATCTTAATAACAAGGAAAATATATTTAATAACGTGACTGATATCCTATTGAAGAAATTGAAGTATTTAAGAAATAATTTTTACTTCAATAAAGAAATTTTCAATTCTTTAATAAATAAATTTAATAGAGTTGTGTTAAATGTAAATTTATGTAATTATTTAATAATTAAATTACTACTAAATTACAAATAATTATTCACGTTATCATGATTTTTTGGTGTCTATTTTCATATTGTATGTACATCATGCCTTATTAATTTTATGTTCTCGTTGTTATATTTTGTAACGGAAATGCTCCCTCTGATCTACAGACGAAGAATTCTTAATCGCTTTTAGAATAGAGAGGGTTGAGAAAGGATTTTGAGTTGACAGAGAATTAATTAGAAGTTGAGAACAATAGAAATAGATTCAAAAGACAGACTAGGAGGCTTCATTCGTGATCCCGGTCGTGAACGCTCTCTTTCTTTTAACATAATTCAAATATTATATGACAAGTAAAATATACCAATTAAGAGAATTTAACGGAAATTGTATATTTTTAAACGAACAGAATGCATTGTTGGTCAATATTGAAATCACGCCAGTTTATATATTCTCTTGTAAATTTATTGTAATTTTTCCCCTTATTATTATTATTTTTTATTAAGCATTTTTTTTAAATAACATCAAACGCATGGTGTATGATCCACATTTTATCGTTGGACTTCTTGTTTTTAAACCTTTTTAATGTTGAGGTGCTTCAGAACTACTCTACTTCAATAACCATAGTTACAAAAAGGTGTCTGATATCATCTTTATTGTGATTTTATGAGTAATTAACCAAAAAATTGGAAGGGAATATATTTTTTTGGATTACTAATTGCTTCTGATCAGTTATTTATTCACGTTCAAGTTCACTTGATTAGAAATCATGCTCAAACTTAATATCCTATTTAAATCTGCCAGATTCACGGAAACTTCTAAATTATTAACTTTTATCAATCGGTTAGTTTAAAATACTTTACCGTTATCTAATAAGGTCCATCCCTGTCTTGTCTGTAATTATTCAATTAAATGAAGTGCTTGAGTCTGAGTTAACGTAGAGTCGTCTCTGCTATTTTCAACTTTCTAAGCCAAGACTGATACCAAATTTTGATATTCGAATTTCAAAATTAAAATTACATTTCAACTGAAATTGTCTGATGATTTTGTCGGTTTAATTTTAATATTTTATTTATAAATAATAAATTAATCTTCATAATGAGAGTCGCGTATCAGGGGGGTAATGATCAACTTCAAATATTGTGTAACGGAAAATGATTCCAAATACGACATATCAAAGAACCCTCAACAAGAGTACCTATACTAAAAAAATAAGTCGATTTTCAAAAAGATATTCAAATGATTTTCGAATATGGGTGGTGTGATATTAAAATTGAGGTACGGATCATATGATTTACTATATCTCGTACCTCAATTTTAATAGAATACCACCCATATATGAAAATTCCACTACACGTGATTTAGGTTATTTAAGTTAAATTTTTTTTTTTGATTTTAAGTAAAATTTGTCGTTCAATAAAGTTCTAATGTGGATATGTGACGTAAAGTTTTATCACTTGCATATAATGCGTCGTTGATACTTTCTGCATTTTAATTGATTGATTAGATCTCTTTATTTTCAAATCGAATAAAGATTAAAATACATTCACAGGAAACTTAATTTAGTCAATAAATTTTATCCGGAGACATAATCACATGCAGATATCAATTTTATTTATTTTTAATTTAATGTTTGTATTTCTAGGTAACGTTTAATTACTGAAATGCTATGAAAAGGAAAATTTTTCCTATTTTGGGCAGGAAAAAAGAAGCGTTTTGATGATCTACTTTCATTAAGAGATTTGGTGTTCACACGCAAGATAAACCAATTAGGTAAGTAATAGGATCAAAGCGGGTGATAAAGGTATTACACAATCAAAAAACTTAACCGGTTGCCCCAAAAATTGTCAAAAAATTCCCGCGCTCGCTGCCAAGTGTTGTCTTACAAATGATTTCAAGATATTTTATTTTAATGTTTAGGAAGATATGATATATTTGTATAATTCAATAAATATTTACAGTAAAATAAATAAATTAATTTACAACTTTAACCCCATTTGAAATTTCATTCATTCTTTTTTCTTTTTTAAGGAGTTCATATAGAGTGGATGTCACGTGATAGTATTGCTAAATTGGGTTATGCTATATTTAGATTAAATTTGATGCATATTTGTGTTCAAAAAATACGATCAAAACTGAATATTCTTTTAATAATCAGCTACAAAATTTTGTAAATTTTATCTTGTCAAATTTCAATTTTTCCAATGCTTTAATGTTGCTGTCGATTAGATGAAGCGCTTCATCACAGATATTTCTTTCAGGTTGTGGAAGGAGCATTCTCATTTTCATTTTCATTTTCATTTAAATGTGAAAAATTAAATTATAAAGAATAAAATTGTATTTCCCATATTTTTAAACTAAATGCCTTTTGTTCCGAGAAAAAATATTTCCATACAATGCTGATCTTTACATATTTTATCACATAAAGCAATTAAATCGTAACGCCGCCAACTAAATCATTTCTTAAGCTCGGAGAAATAAATCTCGTCATTAAGCGCAGTAAAATAGTAACCGCTTATGAACATTACCGGTGTCACATCAAGAATTATTTTGCTTATATATTAAATCGATTTACATAAATCCAACCTATTCCGTTTTTCAAAATCAGTTCACAGCCTTTCAAAAATGTCTTCGTTATTTCACAACGGTCTTTCCAAGGACCTATCGACAATATTAAATGATGCCGATGGTTATAACGTTATTATTAAAGTTGGTGAATACACAAATACAAAAACATTTCGTGCGCATTCGGTCATTTTACGGGCACGCAGTCCATATTTTGAAGCGGCCCTTTCGCCGAAATGGATTATGAAGAAGAATGGCATGATAATATTTAATAAACCGAACATCACACCGATCGTTTTTGAAATGATCTTAAAGTAAGTTTTTTTTGCTTAATTTATGTGAATCTATTGAAATTAATTTATTAATTATTTTTATTTTTTTATTTTTTTAATTTTATTTTTTTTTTTTTATACCGATTATAACGATAAGGTATTTATATACGGGTGAGCTAAATTTGAACAAGCAGTTGGGGAAGAACATTTTCGATTTGCTAATTGCATCTGATGAGTTACTCCTCGAAGAATTATTTTATCACGTCCGAGATTACTTGGTTGAAAAAAAATCTAATTGGGTTAAGCAAGAGGTCAGGCAAAATTTCGTCCTAATCCTTAATGCCGTATTTAGACTTCCTGGTTGCAATAGGCTGCAAGATTGTTGTCTCGAATTTATTTGTGCAAATCCACAACTGATCATTACCTCGAAAAACTTTTCATTGTTAGATGGTGACATCATATTTGTCTTACTTAAAAGGGATGATTTGCAAGCAAAAGAGATTGTCATTTGGGATTGTTTAATTGAATGGGGGATTAGAAAAATTGAAGGATTATGTAACGATATATCTAGATGGAGCCAGGAGAATGTTGAGGAGTTGAGGAAAACGTTAAAACAATTCATTCCCCTTATTCGATTTATGGAAATTTCACCTGATGATTTTTATGATAAAGTTCGTCCTTATAAGGCTATCATCCCCAATCAGATTTTTGATGAAATTGAAAAATGTCACTATAGAAACACCATACCGAAATCATTAGCGTTACAACCTCGATCCTCTAGAATGATTAAATCAAAACCCATCAAATCAAATATCTCAACTTTAGTAAGTTATTCTAGACTTTCAAGAGACCTTTCTTTGAGATTAAATCAAGATGATGATTTCAACGTAATCATTCAGATTAGTGAAGATCAAAATGCAAAATCATTCCGAGCACATTCAACTATTTTAAGAGCGCGTTCTTCATATTTTAAATGTGTTCTTTCGGTTACAAAGATGAATGATCTTATCACGCATTATAAACTTAGCTTCACTCCCGCCGTTTTTAACATCATCTTAACGTAAGTTTTATTCAATTACACAAAAAATTAAATTATAATTACTTTTCTTTTTTTTTTTTGAATACGAAAATAATTTCAAATTAAATTTTATTAAACTTTAAGGTACATTTACGCGGGTGAACTTTACATGATCAAAACATCAGGTGATGATACCTTTGGATTATTAGTTGCAGCCGATGATTTACTCCTTGATGAGTTATTCATACATGTCCAAGATCACCTGATCGAAGAACATACCGGTTGGATTGAAGAAAATTCTTTCCTAATATATAATTCCTCATTTAAACTTGATCATCACAAAAAACTACGAAATTATTGCATTGAATCAACGTGTGCAAACCCACGACCATTTTTCACATCAAAAAATTTTCCATCCCTTAATAGAGACTCCCTTTTCGAATTGCTTAAAAGGGATAATTTATTTTTTGAAAGGGAAATTGATATTTGGAATAGTTTAATCAAATGGGGTATCGAGAATACACCCGGATTAAGAAGCAATCATGGTGATGTATCTAGATGGAGTAAAGGTAATTTTGAAGCATTGAAGAAAACTTTAAATCAATTCATTCCCCTCGTCGGATTTGTGGAAATCTCTCCTGGGGATTTTTTCGATTATGTTCGTCCTTATAAAGCTATTATTCCATGTGATACATATGAAGAACTCGCTAAATTCTATTATAAGAAAACATTTCCGAAATCAATCATTTCACCACCACGACTTCGAAGGATTCAATCAAAAATCATCAATCCAGAGCTAACTTACATAATTGCTCGTTGGATCGAAAGAAATAATGAAAGCCACCTGTTACTCAGGAAAAAATATAAGTTCGAGCTTCTCTATCGCGGAACTCGGGATGATATTTTTCGTACAAAGTATAGTAACCATGGTCCATGTTTAGTATTATTCAAACAACATAAATCACCAGTAATTTATGGAGAATATAATCCACTAAAGTTTGTTCCAGGAAATCGATGGTATAGTGAAAAAAATAGCTTTATATTTTCATTTGAAAATGATCAGGATACTACAAATATGAGAATAAGTCGTTTGTTAGAGGATCACAATTATACAAGGAATGTGTTAAAAAGATGTGACAGTTATGCAAGGAATGAATGGCATAATAATAAATTTTATTTTGCTAGTACTTTTCGTAAGATAGGTCATTTTGTTTATCCAAACAATTTTGGATATTACGATCATAAGATAAAAAATGATGCTAGATTTATTCCGGAGGAAGTTGAAGTTTTTAATGTAAATATTATGTAATTTAATAGATCAACTTATAATAATTTAATTTTTTTGAACTTAAAATCAACGTTGTAACTTAGTGTGGGATATTTAAATAGATACTTCGAGAGGTTATATTATAAACCTCCATTAGAAAATGGTAAATATGAGGGATTTTAAGCGGTCTTATACGGTCCTAAAAATCCTAATATATTTGCCAATTCTAGAGAATATTTTTATTTTACTTGGTTATATTTACTTTCTAATGATAAAATGTATTAATGGTAAAATTAATTAATAAACTAATTTGGGAATCTAGAATTGAACAATATAATGTCATTTCAAAAACACTTTCAATGATACATATTAATAATGCAACTCAACTACTGTTAAACAAGATTGTTTAAAACTCTCAATTGAATTTTATCTTCATAAATAAACAAAATTATCTAATTACAAAATTGGATTTTAAGAAAAATTTGTGAATTATCTTATTTGATATCTACATTTTAACACTTCATATATCATTAATTTGAAAATCGACTTAATTAAACTGGTATAACGTGGGTTGCCGAATGTATTTATTCTACCCGAAAATTTAAATTTTTTTTTTTTTTTTGGTAATCGGATAGGATCTTTAAATTATTCTTAAAACCATTTTTAAAATTATTATTCTTTAATATAATAAAAAATAATTGGTAATTAAATAATTTGTATTTATTATTTATATTTCATATTAATAATTATTTAATAATCTGTTAAAGAACTAAGAAAAATTGGAGCTTCTAACGAATCTTGAATAATCCAATAAATTCCGATCATCTGCTAGATTAATAACACGATCACCTAATTCCAATTGAAGCTTTATTAATGAATTAACTCAAAAATATGCTCTGTTTAATATTAGTCCAACCATCATATTCCACTTTTATCATTAGATGTGTTACCTCAATTTTCGTAAGAGAGGTAATTAAATGAAATGCAGTTATAGATTTATTTTATGTAATTGCGATGTAACGAAAATAGCATGCAATCGATTTTAAAGAAATAAAATAAAAGTTTTAAATGAAATAAATGAAATAAAGAAATATTTTTATTCAATAAAAATGATAAATAAATACAAATAAAACAACTAATACTACCTCTGCCGGCGCTCGATAATAGGCATAAAGAGAATAGAACTATCCTATTTATACTAAATTTCCTTCCCATGGCTTTGCTACGGAATTCTTTAAAAATATCAGGAGGCTTTGACGGAAATGCCAATTAATTTATCCCTAATGTCATTTTGACATATTTCTTCCATCTTGCCAAGTGTACTAAATAAAGATCGTCATAGATAAAATTTTTGCGCAGTCATTATTCAATCAATTATTGCTCGTCGTCTAGGAAGTTTAATGTGGGCCTGCTAGTGTTCCCAAAGGTTCTATCAGACCCGGATTTATTGACCTGACTCGAATTTAGGGTCGTGTCATTTTATTATTACCAGTGACCCATGAGATTATATATGTAAATTAAGCCGAATCGAGCCGAATTACACAATGTCCGAGACGCTTACATCCGGTCGGTTCCCCGACCCGACTCTTTCGGAGCACTAGTGGATGCAATAAAAATTAATAACATCATGTGTATCCTTATACTTCATTTGAAACTATGATAATTAATACCAAAATCTATGTTATCTTTTGTTGATAATGTAATGTGACATAATTAGTACGGTTCGTTGGTTTAATGGTAGTTGTAAAATGATTTGGTAGACACATAAATTTTAGCTTAACGAACATCCATCTTATCCGCCACCTTTCTTATATTCTTTTTGAGATTTCGTCTTTCTAAGATAATAATACCCTTAATGATCTCTTTTATAGACGAGTTTTTTTTCATGTCCAGGTTAAATAACTAAAATGTGAACATTTTATATGCCAACGAAGCTCTTTGCATAACAATTGACTAGGATTAATTTTTTTTTTTTTTTTTGATTGACTTGTGCTAAATGCCCTTGGTTAAAATGTATGTGTTACAAACATTTTTATCAAGCCCTGGATTTTGTTCTTTGAACGAGTTTGTTAATGATTTACTTCGAAGTTTGCCTAACATAAAATTCAAACCTGGGGGCGCTTTTAGTAAATATTCGTTATAAATTTTTGTTGCTTTTAAAAATAATTTAGATACGTCAGGTTTATTTTGGAGATTGAAAACTTATTCTCAACTTGTTAAAACTTATGTTACATATATTGTTAGCAAGCCACTGTATTTGTCATATGTATAGTTTATACTGCCTTGAAGGGTTTGCGGTCAACGCCTAACATAAAACTCGAATCCAGGTCGCTTATAGGAAATAACTCGGCATGTTCTTTGCCAACTTGGTTATATATATATTTTTTAAATGTACTTTAGATTCGCCAGCAATTCTTTAGATTTTCAAATATTGCATTCTTCGATCTAGGCAATGTTCCAATCAAAATTTTATCGTATATAAAAAAAAAAGAATGATCTTTGCCGCATTACATGGAACTATCAACAAAATCATCAATTTACTTAGAAAAAATACCCGCCCTGCTCCGACATTAACTCTAACGGAAACAATTTTAATACCTTCTGCCTATAATGCAGTAAAAGAAGTTTCATGGGAAGGGAATCTTTTTTCAAACAAAGTTATTTACGTAATTTAAATTTTTCCGGTTTGATCTGTTGTACGTTTATCGAGATGACCAGAGCTGGCGAAGGGTTAGTTTTACTGTTCTGAATTAACATAATCTTCTCTATTATGAAAAATTATTTATTGTAATATCACATGCAATATTATTTTTCAACTTAAAAAATTATTATGAATAATGAAAAAAAGTTATTTTTAAATAAATAATGTATTCATTTCGAAAACAATTGGAGGGATGTGTCAGGAATTTATTATATCTAGAGGTTGGAACCGGTTAATAAACCGGTTAAGACGTTATCGGCCGGTTAAAAATATTTAATCTTAATTCTGGCCAAAGATTTAATTTTCGGGTAGAATTAAAATTTTTAGTGATTTGCCATAATTTATAGTGCCGGCCTGAGTTAAATTTAACCGGTTATTAACCTCTAATTAAATATATGGGAGGTTTGCTAGGAAAATGGGGCTCTGAGAAATTTTTAATTTTTATTGCATTTTAATTTTTGATAATGTTAGATTAAAATGCAACATATATTAAAATTTTAATAAAAAATGCATTTTCCTAGCAAACCTCCCATATAAGTTATGTGGATTTTTTCGAAAACCACGTTACTCACTTTATTTACTTTATATAAATAATATAGATTAATATAGATTCACGTGATAGAATTTTTTTTACAAATCAAAAAAATTAAAAATAATAAAGAAGAGACAAAAATTTCAAATGAAAATAATTGTGCAAAAAGCATAACACTCAGAAAGGATCAACGATTATAGATTAAATAAAATAACGATAACATTACTATGAAAGCTGAACTTCTAAGCATTTGAAACAGGTAAATAAAAATATCACTTTAACACGGCTCTTCATCCATTTTATAATGAGCTGAACAGCACCTCCCCTTTAAAATAACATCATTCTGGCCCTCCACATAGGAGTTGTAACGGTTATCATCAAGTTTGAAAACAAACGTTTCTTGGTAATATATATTTTTTTGTGAAGGTTTTTTCTTCATCCTCTGGAAATGATTTGAAAGAATTTCTTTTCTTTCATTCCCATTATACTCCTCCTCAAAATCTGAACATTTCTATAATAGTGTTCGATTTGTCAGAATCAAAATATAGTAATTGCTATACTTTCGTATGCGGTACAATTTATATCACGAAAATGATGATCTTATTAAAATTACTGCAAGCAGTTGTAATCGATCACATTTTTTAAGCAAATTTTTTTTTATCGGTAATCTCTTATTTTGAACTTTTTTGGACTAAGTTATTGAAAAATATTAAAATAACTAGGTCATTTGACTCAGGATCTTTAAAATTAGTCAAATGAATGATGCTATAAATGCAATGGATAATTAGATATGCGGGTCAAACAAGATAGTAATAATCCGTTCCACATTAACTAAATATATAATTGTTCAGTAGCACAGCAATTCATTATATATAAATTCATCTTTTTTTTAATATTTTTTTTTTTTTTAAAAAAAAAAAAAAAATGACATCAAAATTCCATGCTAGACTTTCAAAAGATCTTTTATTGTTGCTAAATAACGCAAATGATCATAATGTAGTTATCCAAGTTGGAAAAGATCAAAATGTAAAAGAATTTAGTGCACATTCATATATTCTGAGTGCTCGTTCACCTTATTTTAAAAGTGCGTTTTCAACTGAATGGGTTACAAAAAATAATAACGTTATCGAGTTTAAAAAACCGAACATTAATCCGAACGTTTTCGAAATGATACTTAAGTATGTTCAAGAATTTTAGAATCTTTTTAAATCATTTTAAATAAAAAAAACAAATTACCTAATTACCTTCTTTTTTTATTCAATTAAGTTACATTTATGCAGGAGAAGTAGATTTAAGTAGACATTCTGGTGCAGATGTCCTTGGTCTTTTAGTTGCTTCAGATGAATTACTTTTCGAGGAATTATTTAACCATGTACAGGATTATTTAATTGAAAAACTATCAACCTGGGTCCAACAAAATTTCTTTCTCGTCCTTCATAGAGTATTTAACCTCACTAATTGTGAAAAGCTTCAAAATTACTGTTTTGAATCCATTTGCTCAGATCCTTTACCATTTATGTCTTCGAAAGAATTTCCATCATTGGATAGAGATATTCTTTATGAATTGCTTAAACGTGACGATTTGAAAATCGAAGAAATTTTTATTTGGGATTATTTAATTAAATGGGGTATAAATCAGACTTACGGCCTTGAAAATGATAAAGCATTGAAAAAAACTTTGAAACTGTATATTCCTCTTATTCGATTTTCGGAAATTAGTTCTGCAGAATTTTTTGATAAAGTTCATCCGTATAAGAGCATTTTTCCTAAAAATATTTATGAAGAAATGATGGAGTCATATATGAAAAATAATTTACCAAAAACTACAATTTTACCACCACGAATTGGAAAGTTTCAAATTGAATCGAAAATTGTCAAACCAAAGCTTGCTTCTGTCATTATTAACTGGATTAATAAAAAAGACGCAAATGCTATTCGTAGAAAAGAAGATCCATTATACACGTTTAACCTAATTTATCGTGGTAGCCAAGATGGGATCAATAATAATTCATTTAGAAAAAAATATGATTTACAAATTCCAACCTTAGTTTTAGTCAAGTGTCAAGGTTCGCAAAAAATATTTGGTGGTTATTCTCCAATCGAATTTTATAACGATGATTATGGTGATCGTTTTGCTCGTTCAACTGATTGTTTTATTTTTTCTTTTGAAAATAATGAAGATACGGGAAATACGAAATTAAGTCGTGTAAAGTCGCATTATTTTAATAATGCGATATACGAATACAACGCTTATAATAATACTTATGGATTTAATTTTGGTGGTGGAGATTTATATACAAAAAATAATTATTTATATGTTGGTAAAAGCGGATTTTATGAACATAAGTTAATTGAAAATAATAATCCTTTCACAATCGAGGAAATTGAGGCCTTTAGTATAACAAAAATCGAAAAATAATCTTTTATAAAAAATATTTATTTAATTATTTTAATTATTGTCACGTGTATTTTAAAATATTACTAGAATTTAACAAACTGTAACAAGTTTTTTATTTTTAAATTTGTAGTCCAATACTTTTATTGTGAATAAAATTGTAAAATTCATAATAAAAAACTAGACAATATCAACTACTATTCCGGTTATTTAAGTAAATTAATACATTAAAGAATACGCTGTGCATTTTAGTTTATAAAACGAATATAAATCTTTTAGGGATGCCTTAAATAATCAACTTACAACGTTTATTCTTTAATATATTATTTGATTTGGTATTTTTCTAACCGTGACAGAAAAGAATGAAATAATAAATTTCTGATATAGAAACCTGTAAAATCTTGAGCGCATTATGAAAAACTAAATTGTTGCATGCGAAAATCCATTGTTGGACTTTGTTACATTGAGAAAAATAATATAAATAATAATATTATTAATTAAATAAAAATAATATAAAGTTCATTATAATATTTACCTCATTATTTGCATTCAAATATTCTTTATAATTGTGTTTTGATTTATGCATATGACCAGATATATTTGATGTTGAACCTTCATATCGACTATAAGAATAAGGTTTTTTATTAGTGTCAGTAAGATTTTTCTCACAAATCATATAATAGCGCTAGGCAATAATTTACTTTTCAGGGTCTTTATGAAAAAAATAGGCGGTATGACTTTTGTTAACCAATTATTATTAAAAGTTGAAGGATTTTACGATTGGGGCAGATGGACGGAACAAGATTTCTATTTATACGATACATATTTTTTTATTCTTTTGTCACAAAATTAAAAATTAAAAAAATTTACAGATATTCCATCACACAATAAAATATTTTTATTATATCTTATTTTACAATAGCTTAATAAATTATGTCCCGATTATTATATTCGAATGAGGCGATATCACGTGGTGATCATCTTCTAAAATCGGAAAAAAATAAATATGTAACTCTAATTTTTTTTTTGTTAAAAAAATGGCTTCAAAATTCCATGCTGAACTTTCCCAAGACCTTTTATTGATGCTGAATAGCGCAAATGACCATGATATAGTTATTCAAGTAGGCAAAGACCAAAATATTAGAGAATTTAGTGCACATTCATGTATTTTGAGAGCTCGTTCTCCTTATTTTAAAAGTTTATGGTCAACCGGATGCGCTACCAAAAATAATGACAATGTAAACGAGTTTAAAAAACCGAACATTGACCCTAATGTTTTCGAAATTATTCTAAAGTATAATATTCTAAGAAATTCATTATCTTTTGCTTGAAATAATTTTTATATAGCTAAATTGTCGTTTATTTCTTAAGTTATATTTATACAGGTGTGTTGGATTTAACTAATCAATTAGGTGAAGATATACTTGGTCTTTTAGTTGCGTCCGATGAGCTGCTTCTAAGGGAATTATTTAAATACGTTCAAGATAATTTAATTGAGAAACAATCAACTTGGGTCCAAAAAAATTTTGTTCTTGTTCTTCACAGAGTATTTAATCTTGCTAGTTGTAAGCAACTTCAGGATCATTGTTTTGATTCCATATGCGCAGATCCTTTACCACTTATTACTTCGAAAGAATTCCCATCACTAGATAAAGACATTCTTTACACATTGCTTAAGCGAGACGACTTGCATATCGAAGAAGAAATAATGATCTGGGATCATTTAATTAAATGGGGCGTCAATCAGACCTCTGATTTGGGAAGTGATGAATCTAGATGGAATGATTGGGATTATGAAGCATTGAAAAATACTTTAAAGCAATTTATTCCTCTAATTCGATTTTCAGAGATTAGTCCTACAGATTTCTTTGATAAAGTTCGTCCGTATAAGCCTATTATTCCTAAAAATATTTATGAAGTAATGATGGAGTCATATATGAAAAATACTTTACCAAAAGCAACTACCTTACCACCACGAGTGGAAAATGTTCAAATTGAATCGAAAATTATAATGCCAAAGCTTGCTTCTATCATTGTTAACTGGATGAATAAGAAAGAAGCAGATGCTACTCGTAGAAAGCAAGATTCATTATACAAGTTTAACCTCATTTATCGTGGTAGCCGTGATGGTATTGATAGTGATTCATTTAGAAGCAGATATAACTTACAAGCGCCAACCTTGGTTTTAGTCAAGTGTCAAGGTTCGCAAAAAATATTTGGTGGCTATTCTCCAATCGAGTTTTATAATTATAATTATGGTGATCGATATGTTCATTCTACTGATAGTTTTATCTTTTCATTTGAAAATAATGAGGATACACAGAATATGAAATTAAGTCGTGTAAACGCGAAGCATTCTGATCATGCTATTTATGATTATGACTATCATAATAATTATGATTATGGATTTAATTTCGGTGGAAATACATTGTGTACTCGAAATCAGAAATTATACGTAGCCAATAAAGAGGGTTATTATGAAGATAATTTAAAGGATGATAGTACTTATACAATTGAGGAATTCGAAGCCTTTAGAATAATTAAGCAATATTAAATATTTGTCGCAATGTTTTTTTGTTTTATATTACACATTTACATATATAGGTTCTTGAGTTTTTAAAATATAAAATTTTTCATATTTGAATGAAAGAATTCAAGTTAAAATTTTAGTAAGTTTGTTTTCAGAGAATCTTTGAGAATGTTATCCTTCTCGTGTTGCTCTTGAATTGCTCTAAATACAGATATATCATATTTCTGGCTTCCATGTCGACTAAAAAAGCGTAAGTTTTGTTGGAATCACTGATTATTATTTCACGAAAATATGTCTGATCCAATCTTTATTAAATAAAAATACAATACAATATTTTAAATTCATAGGAATATAATTTTATAAATTAAATTTGACTCGCACTTATGTTTTATTTAACATGTATGGTTGAATCAATTTAAAATAATATTTTTCATCTCTGCTTTTTTCAATATAAATAAATCAACTGGTCGGACTTGTTCTGTACGTTCCTGTTAATTAAAGTATTATAATAATATAAAAGTGTAATTATCATCTAAAGAATAGTAAGTTCGAAAAAAATTTTCATAAATAATTATTATAAAGATACTAACTTTATTTGTTGTTGCATCACATCGTTATCATCAACAACATCGTCACCATCCTCAACAATAACAGCGACTTCACTTTTCATCTTGTAAAGTATTGATATTTAGCCTTTTGAAACTGGTGCTTCGAAGTTGATGTTTTCGTCTAATAGATGTTGCTGATGTAAAAGATGAATTTTGAATCTTAGGAGCCTATATATAGAATGGAAGTGGAGTCAATATATATATATATCTATATACCTAATATTTCGGTGCTACTGATCTTGTGTACTTTAACTTTGTCAAAGCAATCTTTATACTTTCTCTCTTAATTTCTATTTATTCAGGAAAGTGGCGCAGCTGGTTATTTTTTTTTAGCAAAATGTTGAAAAGCTGCTCCATAATGCTTAACCTTATATGTAAATGGTTTTAGTGTTGAGGTTAAGAAATTTCCGACGTTCTTATAGTATAGCATATGCTTTACGCTTATATGGTTTGAACACTAATAACGGTTCAATTTATATCTTTATATAACGAATAAAAGAAATTTTGAAACTAAATATTCTTCTAATAAAAATCGAGACTATTTACAGAAAAAATTTTCAAGCTGTCAAATCTTACACCGATCAGTTGAGATTTTGTATTTTGATTTTTTCTTTTTCTTACGTTGCGTATTTTATTTATTATTTTATTGTATTTTTTTTTTTTTTTTTTTTTTTACTTTGCATACATTAAAGATGTTCAGTCGGTCTTTCGGTCCTGAACGGTCTTTGGAAAAGTTATAAGGAATGCACCCTTGAAATTTTGAGGCGCAGCAAGTATGGCTAAAGACCAATAAATGTCAAAATTTGGCCTTTATACTCTTTTTTTAAGACCAGCAGAGGCGAAATTGGTAAAAGACCGAAAAAATCAAAAAAATACTGGTTTTGGTAAAATAAAAACCTTCCTAGTTCTAAATAGGGTGATTAGATTAAGACCAAACTTTATCACTTTTCGGTCTTTAATCATTCTGTTGTGCCACAAAAAAATTGGGAGCACACCTTATTACTTTTTCGAAAATTTCCTAAAGACCGATCAAGACCGATCAAAGACCGCAGGACCGACTAGTGCTCCGTAAGGGTCGGGTCGGGTCGGGTTTGAAGCAAACTCGAACTCGAACCCGTTAATGTTTACAGGACCCGAATTCGACTCGACCCGATTGTTGTTCGACCCGACCCGATTATTGTTCAACTCGTATTCGACTCGAATTTTAAGGTAATATTCATACCGAAAGTAAAAAAATTTTTTTATTTATAATATACTCTATTTAAAATGATATTAGCATCTAACTTCTCGATGTGTTTTTGAATTTATATTCAGGTGGAAGAAGTTTCTCTTCAAAACTCTTTGGCAAAAAGTTCGCTTCGCAATTATTTTCAAGAGAAGCTGTAATTAATAAGGTCGATAGTTTCACTCAAAAGTTGCGCATATTACATATCATTTAATAGCATCACCTGATCATTCGGGTCACACGGGTCAAGCAAAATCGAGACCCTAACCCGACGGGTTTTAAAAAATTAGGACTGACTCAAATTTTTTCTCGAGTCGGGTCAAATGACCCGGGTCGATTCGACCGGCTCGGAGCACTAGACCGACTGACTATCTCTACATACAATAATTTTTTTTGTTCATTTCTATTTGGATTTCGGTTCGAGCTCTTTGTGGCGCAGTAATTGAATATCTTTTCATTTTTTTTTGTTGCTATTTTTTTTTTATGGTTAAATCGCTTCGTATAGCAATCAAATTCTTTTCTTGGGGGGATTTTTTGTTTTGAAATATTTTATTTCTTTTATTTATTTTAGGTTGATTATTTAATGTGATTGGTCCTGTTCTAAATGACACATGATTATCTGTTTTCTATAATCGGAAGTATATATTACTGTATTTGATTTGAATTGATTTACAATAAATATGTAACTCTTTTTTTTTTTAAAAAAAAAAAAAAATGACTTCAAAATTTCACTCTAGGCTTTCGCAAGAACTTTTATTGATGCTGAATAGCGCAGATGATCATAATGTACTTATCAAAGTAGGAAAAGATCAAAATATAAAAGAATTTAGTGCACATTCAAATATTCTGAGTGCTCGTTCACCTTATTTTAAAAGTGCATTCTCAGCTGGATGGGTCACAAAAAATAATAATGTTATCGAGTTTAAAAAACCGAACATTAACCCTAATGTTTTCGAAATGATACTTAAGTATGTTCAAGGAATTTAGAATCTTTTTTAAATCATTTTAACCAAACAAATTACCTAATTACCTTTCAAATTCAATTAAGTTATATTTATGCAGGAGAGGCAGATTTAACTAAACAATCTGGTACAGATATACTTGAGCTTTTAGTTGCTTCTGATGAGCTACTTCTCGAGGAATTATTTAACCATGTACAAAATTATTTGATTGAAAAACAATCAACTTGGGTCCAACAAAATTTTGTTCTCGTCCTTCATACTGTATTTAAACTTTCTAATTGTGAAAAACTTCAAAATTATTGTCTTGAATCAATCTGCTTAGAACCTTTACCATTTATGTCTTCAAAGGAATTTCCATCACTTGATAATGATATTCTTTATGGATTGCTTAATCGAGACGATTTGCAAATTGAAGAAATCGTTATCTGGGATTATTTAATCAAATGGGGTATCAATAAGACTTCTGGTTTGGGAAGTGATAGAGCCAAGTATAATAATAAGAATAGTGAGTCATTGAAGAAAACTTTAAAACGGTATATTCCTCTTATTCGATTTTCTGAAATAAGCTCTGCAGACTTTTTTGATAAAGTTCGTCCGTTTAAACGCATTATTCCTGATTACATTTATGAAGAAATGATGGAATCTTATATGAAAAATACCTTACCAAAAACAACAATTTTACCACCACGAATTGGTAAGGTTCAAATCGAATCGAAAATTGTTAAGCCAAAGCTTGTTTCTATCATTGTTAACTGGATGAATAAAAAAGACGCAAAGGCTATCCGTAGCAAGAATGATCCATTATACGAATTTAACCTCATTTATCGTGGTAGCCGAGATGGGATGGATGTTAATTCGTTTAGAACTAAATATAATTTACAGGTTCCTACCTTAGTCTTAGTCAAGTGCCAAGGTACGCAAAAAATATTTGGTGGCTATTCTCCAATCGTGTTCTATAATGTAAATATTGGTGATAGGTACACAAGTTCTACTGACTGTTTTATTTTTTCTTTTGAAAATAATGAAGATATACAAAATATGAAATTAAGTCGTGTTAAATCACAGTGTTCTAGTAATGCTATATATGAATACTACGTTCATCATAATTATAGTTACGGTTTTAATTTTGGAGCTGGCGCGTTATATACGCAAAATCAGCAATTATATATAGATAATAGCAGTTATTATGAAAATAATTTAAATGATAATAATAATTACGCAATTGAGGAAATTGAAGCTTTTCATATAACAAAAATCAAAAAATAATATTTATAATTGTGTATATTTGTTATCGTTGGGTGTATTTTAATAGTCGAATAAAATTTAAATCCGTTTTACAATATTCTTAAACTTCTAAGCTAGTCTTTTAAATACAAAGTTTTTTACTTTTTAAAACGCATTTTGCCAGTATAGAATCTTTAATTGTGCACTTAAATAAACAACTTACATATTTACATTAATAAATTAATAACTCTCTTATGCTATATTATAAGAATGACAGAAGAGATTGAAAAGTGAAGAGATTAATTTGATTGCCTTGTAAATGTGTATACATTTATTATGCACTATTCATATATAAATGTTTAGTTTTTTCAATTTTCTAAATATATAAGCCCATACCAAAGTATCCAGCTTATATGATATGACAATGAATTAATAAACTAGGGAACGGTTTCGAAAACCGTTGTTAAGTCCAGAGCATATGTATAACGAAAAAGACCAATCATGTATCGACTAAATTTTTGAGCGGACAACGGGACATCTTGTGTCACCGGTCATAGTCCTTCGTTACACTCAGGAATAATCATATGAATTATAAAAATATTTGATTTTCAAATAAAAATTATACAGTTTGAAGCACAAATTAGTTTTTAACTTAATATTCAGAAATTTAATTTGGATTACCTGACTGTACAGATACATGCTTTAGGGTAACAGAAATATAATCAAGTAGAAAAAGGTATAATGACGCTATCTGGCAAGCTAGCAGGTATTGTACTACCAGCTGATCACTTTGGAAAGCATTTAAATTTGCAAGGCATAGTGATAGTTACTGAGTTGGTTCTTCAAAATTTTCAATATACTAGAGAGGCTCTTTATAATATTTGGCAACTTGATTTATTGGCGTTTTCGAAATTATTGAAATTGATGTCGATCATGTGATGGCGATCGATTTTTTTTAAGTTAGTCACGTTCGTTCAGCTTTACATAATAAAAACTTTAATTTTTAAATAAACTACTACGAATTTTTTTTTATATTTAAATAAATATACACTTTATTTATAATATATGTTATTATTAAGAAGTTATATTAAAAAGAACAATATATACTCAAGTTAAAAC